GGAAAGGGGTGTGGGAGATGCGGGAAGAGACTGGACAAAAATCGTGTACCTATGAATGAGGACAGTGGCGAGGGGGGGTGAGGGTGGAGGGGAGCTTTGGGGGGAATAAAGAGGAACAACTGTAATAATCTGAACAATAAAGATTTAATTTAAAGAAAAAAAAAGATTCTTTGCTCCTGTGCACCTTGGTCCCGCCTGGCACTCGCACCTGCTGCCAGCACTGGCCCCTCTGGCACCTGCTGCCGGGGCCCAGGCCAGTCCCAATCGCTTGGCACCATCAGCAGGTATGAGTAGTGGCTGCCAGCCCTGATTGCCCTTGGGGGCTTCTCCACCTCCTCCTGCTCCTAAGGGGCAATCAGGACAGCAGCCATAGCTTATACCTGCTAATGGTGCCGGCCCCACTCGACCCGCTGCTGGTGCCAACCCCAATAGCTCCGCAGCAGCAGTGCATGGGAGCAGCGGTGGGAGAGGGGCTGCTGGCAGACAGGGGACTGGAGGCTGCAGAGGGTGGAGCCGGGTGGGGGCATGGAGGATGATCCGAGACCTGCCCCTGTGCCTACCACAGCCTCACGGCCCACAGTTCCTTTCAAGGTGCACAAATTTGTGCCCTGGGCCCCTAATATTAATAATATTAGGTCCCTGTTGGGACCTTATTCAGAACCTTTGGTGAGGCACCTGCCCCCATACTGGAATTAATGAGAGATAACTCCAATTTGTTTTACCTGTAATTTGGGGTAATTGCTAATGTTTTTCTCCCATCCCCAGTTGAGCATGTACCTTATTTATTGATTGCCTGCCATGTGCCAGGAAGTATGTTGGGTGCTAGGTTTACAAACACAAGTAAGCTAGACTCACCAGGAGGGTTTTGCAGTTATCCAAGAATGTGTAGGTGTTGACCCTGATAAGAGAAGAAAGGCTATTTAAAAAAATCTGTCTTTATTGATTTCAGAGAGGAAGGGAGAGGGAGAGAGATACAGAAACATCAATGATGAGAGAGAACCATCGATCAGCTGCCTCCTGCATGTCCCCTACTGGGATTGAGCCTGCAACCCAGGCATGTGCCCTGACTGGGAACCGAACTGTGACCTCCAGGTTCATAGGTTGATGCTCAACCACTGAGCCACACCGGCTGGGCAAGAAAGGCTATTTTTGAAGGAAAAATTAACATGGATTGATGACTGCTTGGATATAGAGGGATGAATGAGAAAACCCACTAAAGGAGCATACTAAGTTTTGTAACCTGATTGAAAAGGACTGAGGTGCCTGGGGTAGAGAAGCCATTTCAAGACCACTCATGTTATGACACAGCTTTTGTTCTGCCATTCAGTATCTTCCTAGCAGGCTTTCAGTAGCTCCACAGAGACCTCAGGTTCATGTCCAGCCACCTCTGACTGCTTTTCCAGGTTCACTGTCTTTTGGCTGAAATACAAAAATAAGCATATGCTTGGTGTTTGCGTATTTCCTTAGACTCCTGCAATCCCTAACTATGCTCTACCGTTTCACACTTCTGAGCACACTGTATAAGACACATATAATTCCCTCTTCCTTGTATGAAACGCCCACACTTCCATCCTTACCTCCATTTTGTCCCTTTGTTGACTGGTCACTCAACTTTCAAACTGTATTTTATTTATTTTTTTAAATATATTTTATTGATTTTACAGAGAGGAAGGGAGAGAGATAGAGTTAGAAACATCGATAAGAGAGAAACATCGATCAGCTGCCTCCTGCACACCCCCCACTGGGGATGTGCCCACAACCAAGGTACATGCCCTTGACCGGAATCGAACCTGGGACCTTTCAGTCCGCAGGCCAACGCGCTATCCACTGAGCCAAACCGGTTACGGCTCAAACTGTATTTTAAATTTCTCCTTCTTTGTAAGACTTTCCCTCAAACTCTAGTTAATTGCTCCCAATCTTTATCACAATTGTTCCTTCTAGTACATCTATTATTGCACTTAGCATCCTGAGGTGTAAGTCATACATTACTCTGATTCACTCAGCACCATGAAATACTTGGGGGCAGGTAACATATTTTAATTGTTTCCATATTTCCAATAACTAGCACCAAGCTTGTAGCCTGGCACATAGAAACCATTGAATAGTATATTTACGGGCTGAATGAATGAACTGCCCAGCATAATGATTTCCATATAACAGTTAGGAAATAAACATTTATTGAATTTAATAAAAACAAAGTAATGTAAATTGCTACCCACAAGAACATGAGTTTAAAAATACAGCCTGAATAGAGTGGAATAGGCTAAATGGGCAAGTTTCATAGCGGTCTTTCCCTGCCTTACCCCTGGATCCCTGCTGTCATCTCTGTCCAAGATGTCTTGAGTTCTCCCTCCTCCCTCCCTCCCTCCCTCCCTCCCTCCCTCCCTCCCTCCCTCCCTCCCTCCCTTTCTTCTTTCCTTCCTTTCTTCCTTCCTTCCTTCCTCTCTTTTCTAGCCCTTAAGCAGATTTTAAGACTCTAGTTATCTACTAGTATATCTTGGATTAGGGAATCTTCTCAGTTTTCAAGTTTCCATTAAATTCATAGAAATAACAAACTCATCCGCAAAGCGCTGAACCCATTTGCTCAGGTCTCCGCTGGAACTGAGTAAGGGGCCCCAGCAATCATCCTCCCAAGCTGTCACAGTATTTCAGAACCAAGATAATGAGACCCTCTTATTATTGTTGATATGTATCTGTCATCAGCTATCCTCTGCAGGCATGGGGCACTGCATTGCAGAGGAATAGAGGAGAGAGAGTAGGGTTAGTTCAGGGAACTGCAATTACTGCAGTGTGGCCAGCATAGAAGAGTTTGAGTTTAGTTGCAGCAGAACCCGAACAGATAGAGCTATATGATGAAATACTATATGGAGAGCTATATGATGTAATACTCAGAAAAATGGGCTGTTATCCTGAATGCTTTTACAAGAAAACTTTTAAAACTATACATAGCTTCTCAAAAATAATACTTTCTTATTCAAAAGCAATACATGTTCAAAGTAAATTTTTTACAAAGAACAGACATGTGCAAAGAAAATAATTCTTAATCCAATCACCTTTACAATTTTTAACATTTTGACATATTTTTCAACCTCTCTTTAATGAATGTAAGCATGAATGCACACTTAAATGAAAACAAATAAGGCTTATAACTATATATATCTATTACTTTGTAACTTGTCTTTTCATAAACACTTCCCAATCAGTTGCCTTTAAAACATGATTTTTGAAGGGCTACACAGTATTTTATTATATGCATGTATCAGAGGTTATTTATTTAATTCCTTATTGTTGGGCATTTAGGTGGTTTTGGGGTTTTTTTCTGCTGTAAATAACATCTTAATGAACAGTTTTGTACACTAATTTTAAACATCTAAGTTTTGGTACATATTTATAGGCTTAAATCTAAAAGTGGAATTATCATACCAAAGCTATGAATATTTTAAAGATTTTTGATGCAGATTATGCTATAAAAAGTTGTTTCAAGTTACACTCCTTCTAGTCCTATGGTAGAAGGTCTGCTTCTCAGCTCTTTCATCCACACTGAATGTTCTCATTCTTTTAAAATATTTACAGCTTATTTCCTTAATTTGATTTTTTTTTTACTAGTGAACTTGAACTTTTTTTCATGTTTTTATTAGCCACTTATATTTCTTTCTTTGTGTGTGAAATTTGCTATTCATGTCCTTTGCTAATTTTTATCTTTTTTTGTCAGCTTGACTTTACATATTGTTTAGGGTGTTGTTTTTTTTAACTTTCATGAAATTTAAATTTTTAAATAGCCAGACCTACCAATCTTTCTCTTCTGGTTTCCTTCTTCGCTTTTTTGTTTACAAAGTTCCTCCCCTGAACCCTCCCAGATTCCAAATGATTTTGCTTAAATAAATTCTTAAAATTAAAAAAAGAGAGAAACCATTCTGAGATCAGTTTTCTTAAAACAAACAAACAAACAAACAAACAAACAAACAAACAAACGTATTTCTTGTAGCTGTTATGATTTTATTTATTACTTTGGGATTGAATTTTGACAGTGTGGGAGTTTTAAGCCTCTCTCCCCACTGTCAGAACACAATTTATTGTGTAATCCATCGCTGGTTCAAATGCTACCCTTATCATCATAGCTCCTGTCATCTTCCTGGGATTCCATCTCCTGACAGTTACAGGAATGGGGGGCATGTGGGAGAGTGAACAAATATCCTAGGGAATAGACAGCGCTCTCAAGGTGTGAAAATTTAGATCAGGCAGATAGAGAACATACGGTGTTTGCTATAGAGTTTTAGCTTAGTGGTGGATTAAGTACATACATATGTAATTTTCAAGATAGTTGCTCATTAAAATATATAAATGAAACTTTTTAGCGGCAGGAAAAGGAAAGCAGGGCAATCGTCCCCAAATAATTTTGTCTGTAAATCCAGTTCCACACGCGAGCCACCTGTCACATGGACTCCTGCCCTTTAAACAGCACCACTCAGGTATGAGATTCGCGAGAGGAAGTTCAGATGAAGGTCTTGAGTCTTCGAGGATATTTTGCTTAGAGAAAATGGAACTTTATTTTAAAATACGGTGCTCATTACCAGCGCAGTAACCGCTACAGAAGCAGCATGACCCCCTCAGTTTTATACTGACATCGGCCTGCGCCGCTAAGGCGATTGCAAGGGGGGAGGGGCTGGGGAAGGAGGAATTATTTTTGCGTTTGAGCACCCGATTCCTCCTTTTTATTTTCTTTTTGCAAAAGACCGTTAAGGTCGGGGACAGGAGCCTCGAAACGTTAGGCCGCAACACAGTTATTTGGACTGTAGCGGTGGTTTTCGTAAATGGGAGAGATAAAAAAGGGAGAAGTGCAGCTTACACCACATAACTTCCTGGGGTCTCCCCGAGCCCTGAGCGGAGATCCCGGGAACGCCGCCGGCTGCGAGGCCCCCTCGCGCCACTGGGGGGCGCACTCCCTCCCTGGAAACCTCCCTCCGTCGCCCCCGCCCGGGGCTACGGAGCGGTGACGTCAAGGGGCGGGGCGGAGACGCGGTGCCCGGCGGCGGGGCGCGATCGCCTTCAGGGAGAACCTCTGGCTGCGGCGGGCGAGTGCGGCCGTGGTTGCTGGCCAGCCCCGCGGCCCTGGCTGGGGTGCAGCGCGAGCACCTGGCGGGCGATGGCGCCGAGCGCGAGCGGCCCCGGGTGGCGAGGGCGAGGCCCCGGGGCCCCGAGCGCGCCGCTCTCCGACGTCGACATCGGCTCTGGCGGCGCCGGGCCCGGGCGGCTAGGGGGCTCCTTCGGCTGATGGCGCTGGCGGCGCTGGCATCGCAGCCCGGGGTGGCTGGTGGCGCCGAGACCGTCGGGAACGCCAGCGTGGGTAAGGTCCGGGCGCCTCCCTTCTGCACCCCAAGGGGCCTTTGCATTTCTTGCAAGGTCGAGGTCCACCCCAGGGTCTGTGCGCCCCGCAGCCGAGGCGGCGCGTTCGGAACCGGCAGGAAGGGGTCAGGGTCCTTCGTGCAGAAGGACATTCCCTTTGCGAAGGAGGCGTCCTCACTCCCGCTGTGGAAGTGGGAAGAGATGCGTAACTCTCTTGTTCACACACATTCCTGTCCCCCTCGGGGAGGGGAGCAGCCATGTTTGTGGGTTTCATTTGACACTTGAAAGCACCTCTGGGCTCCCGAGTGGCGTGGCTGAGCCGCGGGACCGTCGGACGTGCAGAACCGAGGGCTCTGCGACCGACGGCCCCGCGGACCGCGCGGGGTTTTTACTTCCCAGTGGAGATGCTTTTCTAATTGGTGAGCTCGACGGAGTTGGACAGGAAAAGCGGACTCAGATCGGGCTTTAGATCGTAGGTCATGTGCTTGGCTGAATGGGTTTTATAAGTAATTCGTGGTTTGTTTAACATACACGCTGTGAATAGCACTAACTGTGCCAGGCTGATAATCACGTGCTTTTCCCGTGAGGTTAGGGGTTAGGCGCATTCTTGGTTTTGTTTGGAGCGTTAAGACACTAACAGTTCTGAAACATAGTATTTTTCTGAATAATGTGATTGTGCTCCTAAATACTTATCTTTGAAAAGCTCTTTGTGCAAACTGAGTTCTAGAATCTTTGCATAGGACTTAAGGCCAGAGCTGAAAAGGGCAAGTTCTATTTTTGCAGGAAAAGAAAAAATAAGCCTTTTTTTTTAATGGGGCACTACATTCACTGCAATGCAGAATGTACCAGGTGCTTTTTCATGGCAGTGTGTTGGGGTTTTTTTTGTTTTGAATCCTCACCCGAGGACATTTTTCCACGGATTTCTAGAGAGCGTGGAAGAGAGAGGGAAAGACAGAGAAATATCAGTGTGAGAGAAACACATCTGTTGGTTCGAGCACCATGCCCTTGACTGGAATCGAACCCGGGACCCTTCAGTCGGCAGGCTGACTATGCTCTATCCACCGAGACAAACCGGCTAAGGCAAGGCAGTGCTTTTTAATCCTCACGACCCTATATCACAGTCCTCACTTGGCAGAGGACCGAGCTGAGGCCCTAGATGATGATGCCCACCACACAAGCAAACAGCACTAGGGGCACAGGCAGCATCTGAAACCAAGTATGTCTTGCGGCAAATTTCCTGGTCCTTCCACTTCACCACAGCTGCCCCGAATAAGAATATTTTACTTTGCACTGAATTCTTCCGGGAATTCTCATTTCTCAAAAGAGCTTTCTGAGGCAGGTGGAGGAGACGCTGCTCCATCTCAACAGGTGAAGCATGTGAGAGACGGAGTTCGCAGTTGATCCGGGAGGGCTGCGGTCCAGAACTTTTCATTTCTAGTTCTGTGCTTTAGTATTTAATAACATCTGGACATTTTTACACAGAAGTTGAGAAACCTGCGTAATCGAGAGCTTAATATTCTTCAGGCGCAATTTCGTGCCTCTTCTGTGATTTCAGCACTGATATTTCCTCTACCGTGATACTCTTTTTGCCTGGCAGCAGTATTGTTGCTCTGTGCGGAAGGACAACATGCGGGAACTTAACTGCTGAGTGATAATTAAAGCTGATGTGCCCAAGCCGGTTTGGTTCATGAATAGAGCCTCTGCCCATGGACTGAAGGGTCCCGGGTTGGATTCTGGTCAAGGGCATGTACTAAGGTTGCGGGCTCAATCCCTGGCTCTGGTTGGGGCACCTGTGGGAGGCAGTCAATCTATGTGTCTCTCTTACATTGATGTTTCTCTCTCTGTCTCTCCCCCTCCCTTCCACGCTCTCTAAAATTCAATGGGAAAACATCTATGGGTAAACATTAATAAAACTAAAACAAGCTGATGTTCTCCACATCAGTCAGATAGAAATTAACAAAGACTGCCCTGACCGGTTTGGCTTGCGGACTCAAGGGTCCCAGGTTGGATTCCTGTCAAGGGCATGTACCTTGGCTGCGGGCACATCCCCAGTAGGGGGCGTGCAGGAGGCAGCTGATCGATGTATCTAACTCTGTCCCTCTCCCTTCCTCTCTGTAAAAAAATCAATAAAATATTTTTTAAAAAAATTAGTGAAGACTTAGTTCAAGACTTGCAGTCTCCTCATTTGTTTCGATTTGAGGACTCTGATAACTAGACAAACTGAGGGAATTAAGCAACTGCTGTAATTTAGGAGGATTTACCCATCTTTCCCAGGAAAAGCTAACTTGCACCACAGGGCTAGTGGCTCAAAAGCCAAATAAGTCTTTGAAGGTGGCAGATCAAGTTTCTAGAATGAGGAAGGTGCTTTCTGTGGCCAGCAGGGCACAAGGGGTGCACCACACGTTTAAACAGTGTTCCCTTGTCTCGAAGTTCCAGTTCTCTGCTGCCTTTAATGTCTTTTGTTATTGTTTCATATCCATTAACTTACATAATTACATAGTAATTGGAGGTGAGCACAAAGTCTTTTGAACTTCCTAATATCTGTGCTAATGATAATGCCATAAGTATGGTAGCAGGCCATTTTTGTAGTTAGTTGCAAGTGGTCTCTTTCTCTTGAAAGGGTGTGAAAGATGCCCTGGCTGGTGTGGCTCAATTGGTTAAGCATATCCCATGCATCGAGAGGTCACAGGGTTGCATTCTTGATCCCCAGTAGGAGGCGTGCAGCAGGCAACCAATCAATGTTCCTCCCTCTCCCTTCCTCTCTTTCTAAAAAAATCAATAAAAACATATTTTTTAAAAAAAAGTATGTGAAGAGTAATATGCACATTTTGTGTTTCCTTTCAGCTTTTGGTGCTAATGAAAACACATAAGACATAAATGAGAAATTGGTCCCTGCCGACATGGCTCAGTGGTTGAGCTTTGACCTATGAACCAGGAGGTCACGGTTTGATTCCCGGTCAGGGTACATGCCTGGGTTGTGGGCTTGATCCCCAGTGTGGGGCATGCAGGAGGCAGCTCATCAATGGTTCTTTCTCATCATTGATGTTTCTCTCTGTCCCTCTCTCTTCCTCTCTAAAATCAATAAATATATCTAAAAAAATAATAAATAAATAAATGAGAAATTGGGAGGTGCTGTTGCATGTTGACCAGTTCAAGTAGCTAAATTAACTGCTTTTGTTTTTAATATTTAACCTGAAGAGAATTATGAAGACAGCTTTCACAAATCTTTCCTAGAATTTGGTTGTTATATGAAAGCACAAACAATGCTTTCATTTTAGTAAAACAGAGGTCAATTTTAGTAAAATAGTAAAAAGGAAGAGCTGAACAATTTTAAGTTTGCAAGTTTAGGATTTGATTGGGAAAGAAAAGGGATTGGGTAGCTCTTGGTGGAATAGAATTCTTGGAAAGAAGAAGTGACTGCGTAGGAATGAAGAGTAGGAAAAATAGAAAAGAGCCCCCTATTATATGGGTCAGATGGAAAAAAAAAAACATTTTTGGCAGAAAAAACAGGCACTTCTTTTTAGAGGCGAGCTACAGACAGCTTAAGGCTCTGTCTCCTTGTTGGCCACGTGCTCTGTAATATCACTTGATGTACTGTTTCCCTCCCACACCCAAAGTCATAAGATCTAATTATGCCTCATAGAATGTTTCTCACGAATCCCTTCCCAGATGGCTTAGAGGTGAATTAAGTTCCTGTTAACTTCTTCGGGACATATTTTGGTTATATGCCTTTATTTGCCATGTGTGCTTTTATGAGTAAAAGTTAAATGCAGATTCTGCTAGACTGTACTGTTCAAGTTGTCTTGGTTTTCAGGATTTTTCCTTGTCACTTTAAGGAAGTCTCCTTCTCACTTTGATGTTTTTGATGGGTGTGCCAAGCATTTATTAGTATACCTGTTAGTCCTCTTCTTCCCACGCCTTTATTTGCAGGACCTTACTGAATGCCTGACGTAAAACAATAAATAAGATGAGCCTCTGAAACACTGTAAAGCTAATGGAAGTTAATCCTGATACTTTATTGTGTCGTATTGGACTGTTTACAAAAATTTCCCCATTTATTTGAGAATTTCAGCAGCCAAGTGATTCATGTAGCACAGTTACCTCCATTTTACCATGAGGGAACTGAGGCCCTGAAAAAAGAAATTACTTCCCTGAGGTGACAGACTTGAACTGTCATTTACTGAACAGTTACTATGTGCCAACTAGGTGACACTACTGTACTAGGCGTTGGGATGTCAAACATGACAAAGCCCGTATAGCCAGGAGTCATACCATAACTGATTTTGTTAATACACAGTCTTCTGTGAAAATGGTGAAATGGCTATCAGACTGCAGGGGTAGCACTGCCAAAGGATCTTCACACAGAAGTTAGGTCAGCGATAACTAAGAATAGGGAAAATGTACTTATCCTGCCCTACCTCATCCAACATTGAGTTAGGAGCTCTCAAACCTGGCTGACCATTAGAAATCAGCTGGAAGACGTTATTTAAAAAGGCATATTGGTGAAGAGTCAACTAGAAATTGAAATTTAAAAGAAAAAGTAAATTAACAATAGTATCAAGAAACATGAAATATTTAGGGATAATTATAATGGGATATGTGAAGACCATTACAGAGAAAACTATACAACAGTCTTTTTTTTTTTTAAGTATGTTTTTATTGATTTTAGGGAGAGAGGAAGGGAGAGGGATAGAGAGATAGAGGCATCATCAATGAGAGAGAAATGTCCCTTGGCTGCCTCCTGCGTGGCCTCTCCTGGGGATGGAGCCTGCAACCTGAGCATGTGCCGTGACCGGGAATCCTTATGGTGCTCCTGTTTTATAAATTTCAGAGGAAGAGTTGAGGTAGAAGCTGTGTTTTGAGTGCCATTAAGGTTTCTTTCTGAAAAGAATACCTCACTATCACTGTAGAAATTTTATAAACAATGAAATGTGTAAAGAGAAATCACTTAAAATATATTTCCAGGGATACCTATGTTTAATACCCCTACTTATTTTTTCAGGTTACTAGTTGTTTAATAATGTATTTTAATTTCTTTGGTCCTATCTTTCCTTACTCTCGTTTATTTATTTATTTTTTATTTTTATTTTTAAAAATATATTTTATTGATTTTTTTTACAGAGAGGAAGGGAGAGGGATAGAGAGCTAGAAACATCGATGAGAGAGAAACATTGACCAGCCGCCTCCTGCACACCTCCCACTGGGGATGTGCCTGCAACCAAGGTACATGCCCTTGACCGGAATCGAACCCGGGACCTCTCAGTCCGCAGGTCGACGCTCTATCCACTGAGCCAAACCGGTTTGGCTCCTTACTCTCTTTTAAAGCAATGAACACTTCAGTTCTCCAAGTATTTCTTATTTGTGATTTATCTTTACCCTGTTTTACCTATTTAGTGGATTATTTGAGAATTAGCTTGGACAAAGAAAGAACTGGTATGCAGCTAGGAGAAAGATACACAGAGAACCATGGGTAGAGTGAGTGAGTTAATAAACACAACCAGAAATGGATGGGAAAGGCCTAGATGAGGTGTTGGAAAACTGTTGTTACAACCTGTCTTTTATGTGGACTCTGAACTTGGTCCTTAAACAAAAAGCTCATTTTTCCAGAATACCCGTGGTTCATAAAGTAAGTATCTGAGGTGGGCGTTCAAATGACATTTTTGCCCGTGCTGATGGCACCTTCTTTTGCAAGCTAGGTAATACAGCCCTATTTGACAGATGAAGAAATTGAGGTTTAAGAGAATTGAGAGCCCTAACCGGTTTGGCTTAGTGGATAGGGAGAGCGTCGGCCTGCGGACTCTAGGGTCCCAGGTTCAATTCCGGTCAAGGGCATGTACCTTGGTTGTGGGCACATACCCAGTAGGGAGTGTGCAGGAGGCAGCTGAATCGATGTTTCTAACTCTCTATTCCTCTCCCTTCCTCTCTGTAAAAAAATCAATAAAATATATTAAAAAAAAAAGAGAGAGAGAATTGAGAAACTTGCCTAAGATCACACAGCTCGTATATGGTGGGATAAAATTGTAGCCACCTCTGTGTCTCCAGGTGACTTCAGAATTCTTAGTTCCTACTGTTCTTTAATACCAGTGCATTCACAGTTGTCAGTAGCTCCTTAGGGTTGTTAATTCTTAAATTCAGGGGCTCTGTTCAGAATAGAATTGTTGTGGTTGCTCTCAGATGGTTTTTTTTTTTTTTTTTTTTTTTTTTTTTTTTTTCTGGGCTCTGGGAGCCAGGCACCTTGAGCATCCTCAGCCACTTTAAGAATTTTTCTCATCTTTTGAAATACCTTTTTCCCATTTTAGCTCTTAGTTCTGCCACTCACTAGCCAAGTCACCCTGGTGAGCTGCTTCACCTCTTTAAGCTTAATTCTCATCAGTGAAATAGGGGCAGTAATAAAATTTATCAACCAATTTTTCTTTCTGAGGATTAAATCTGTGTCTATGTTTATATATGTGATTTCTACAAACTGATATTAGAAGTTCGTATATTATAATGAAACGTTTCTCTTGTTGTAGGTCTTATTGAATTTTCTGTGGGGAAATTTAGATACTTCAAGCTCAACAGACCCTTTCCAGAGGAAGCTATTTTGCGTAATATTTCCAGCAATGTGACTTTTCTTATTTTCCAAATACACTCACAGTATCAGAATACAACCATTTCTTTTTCTAAGGTAAGTACAAAGGATTATTTCTGTAAAAACTGTTTCTGCAGTTTGTGTCCTTATATTTAGCCAAAGCATTAGAATTATTGGATGCCTCTTTATGTTTAACTTTATGTCTTAGACTTTTTAAAAAAAATCAAAGTTGGTTTCTGTCAAATTAGTGGTTTAGACCAGCTAAGAGGTGAATGTCTCAGGCCTTTCTTGAATGTGGTGACCTCTGACTTAATGAGGAGGTGATAGAGTGCTGAGTTTGGGGGAAGGGTGAGCTATGCCAGTGTTTCCTGTCTGAATGTAGTTAAAGCTTTCCTCATGATTTCCCACTTTTTTTCTCCCTTACTCTCCTGGGTCCTTGATGATTTTTACCTGTGAATATATTTTAATGGGTTTCCCTTTCTGTTTAGCCATTTAATGTGGTGTTGAATATGACTAAGATATATATGTTTAATAAGACCCTGTAGGATCAGCTTTATTCTTTGACGCCTCTTGGAAACAAAAATACCCTAACACTGAGTTAATCTTCTAGCAGCATTCAGAACTCTTGCAGAAATCATCACTAAACCCTTTAACCTCAGCCTCAGCTTTGGGAAGTTTTTCAAATGCCCTGGCTTAGCCTAAGCTATTAAGGACCTGCCATTATGTTAAGCTTTTACAAATCTATTTCTATTTAGCGTATATGACTCTTTAGACAAATAAATTCCACTATGTATGTTGTGTGTTCTGTTTGTCCTAAGCCTATATTCTAATACCCTAGATTTTGTTAAACAAAGCTCTTTTAGTCCAGTTCATATATATTTTATAGGCCTTGGTCATATCATCTCTCAAACGAAGTCTTTTGTATATTTCTATCCTGACATCCTGCTTCTGTCATGAAGGTTTTGAGGTTACATGCCTGTGTGTGGTAGTTTAATCGACTAGAAATGGAAGAGCTTGATCATGGAAAACAAGAAGGAATAAATTGTTAATTGCAAGAGATGACAGTGCCTGTGACCCATTTATGCTGACTTTGCTTTAGTTCATGGCAGCCAGAGCAGAAATCAAATCATGTTAAATTTCCTAACTTTCTTAGGAGGAAGAACATGCCAGTTACTCAGAAGAAGCCAAGTTTTTTTCTGGCACTATATTCAAAAGGAATCTCCCTATTCAGGCCCTTACATAGGAGACATAGTACAATGGCACATGTATAATTTCCTTCTTAATAACATTACTATACAGACAACATTTGAAGGAAGAGAAAGGGCAGAGAAGAAAAAGGCATTTATATTTACTGCATGCCTACTGTGTGCTAGGCTGGTAGTCTTAGCTCCTGGGGTCACAGACTTTGAATCTGCTGAAACTGATGGACTCTCTACCTGGCAGAACGTATAGATACATATGCGTGATTTCATGGGGACTTCGGGAAACTCTCTGGGCCTCTGGGCTCCTAGTTAGGAACCCCGTGCCTGGTTTCCCATATAATTAATTTAATCCTCACAACAGCTCAACAAAGTAGTTGCAGTGTCTGTTTTTATTTCTGAGGAAACAGAGCTCGGATAAAGGGATGTCGCCATAACTAATGTGACAAAAGCAGCCTGAATGAACAACATATGCCAGTCACAGTCCTCCAGCTCAGTTCCCTGCGGGAAGGATCTTCGTTATCTTTAATTATAACAATGTTCCTTCACGGTGCTGCCTTTAGTTCTCACCGTGTCTGTACTGCTGAGAGGATAACCAGCCTGCATGTAGCTCTGGAAGTGAGAGGTCTGTGGGGAGAGGATTGTTTCTGTGTCCTCTGCCCTTCCCGACGAAGTGTAGCACTTAAGATTTTTAGGCTCATCATGGCAGCTGGTTCTTTGAAACTGTCGATTCTGTAGTTTGTCAATTAGTATTTGGGTCATTCTCCCTTATGATTGTCAGATTGAAGCCTAGCTATCACTTATGGAAAAATCAACCTGCCAGTCAGTCTGCAGTTATGGAAAAACCTGGCAAGGAAACCTAACATAGGCCAATCACAGTCCTCCCACTCGGTTTCAGCTAGCTTACATTACCCTGCAAATAGGACTTGCTGGTATCTTAAGAACCTCCCGACCTCCTAGCCCATCCGGCCCTGTTTCTGCATTGCTGTTTCCAACGCTCTAAAGAGCTCGCTCTCGCCCCAAATCCCTCAGAAACAATATTCCACAGCATGTCAGGCATGCACTCCCTTAGCCCATGGGTTGTTTTCCCTTGAATAAAGGATATCAAACTTGTGATGAAATTATTTTAGTTTCATCATTCAACAGTAGTGTTAGCACCTGACCTAGTACATCTTAATTTGGGGGATAGAAAAGCTTGGGAATTTTATTGCATCTGATCAAAGATCATGTATTTTAAATAGTTCTGCCATGTGTATGTGTGGGCAAATGCACATAGAGGTGAAAAGAGCCCTTTAATTGTCTAAGGAAGGTCTGTTTTGATTCTATTCTGTTTGGGGAAGATTTGGAATAGGACATGCATACTAGATCAATTCTGGAATTTTAATATTTTGCTCAACTCCCTATTCATGATGACTCTTTTCTTCCTTATTGCAGACTCTCCTCCCCAGTACCTCGGGAACAGGCACTGACAAAGGACTGGTTTTCATTCTTAGACCAGAGCAGAGTATGTGCTTTTGGTATTTGGAGACTTCAGATGCTGAGCCTGTCCAAAATATGGCCATTCCACTCTCCTACTCAGAAAGAGGTGGTAACCTTTCTGTCTTCGACTTCTACTACTGTCTAGAATATGGGACTTATTCCTGGATATTTGGGGAAAACTGTAATCGTATTAAAAGTGTTTATTGTAAGTACAATATATTTAACCAGAAAGGTTTTAATAGCAAGGGAGCCAGAGAATTGTCATGATGTTGAAAGTCCTGAAAGGAGCTAGGAGAATACATTTATTCATTGGAAAAACATTTAAGGAGTCCTTGGAAAAGCGGTAACAAAAGGGCAAGACACAGTCATTAACACTTCGGTTGGTTATTCTAGGCAGAGGAGGGCACTGAAGAAAAATGGAGTGTTTGGAGAATAGCATTAGTGGGTGTGGCTGGAGGCAGAGTGTGAGGGCCTTGTATATAATTTGAGGTTTACATTCTATTCTGAGGTCGGTTCTGGGGAAGCATAGAGAGTGTTTAAGCAGAGGAATGATGTGATGCACTTCATCTCTTAGAAAGTTAACTCCAGAAGCAGTGTGGGGAGTGGGCTGGAGAGGCCCGTGGCAGCACTAAGGATGTCCAACTGCCACCTTAGCCCTCTCCCCACAGGGAGCGGACCTAAGCTGTCAATCAGACATCCTCTGAGGGCTCCCGGACTGCGAGAGGGCACAGGCCAAGTTGAGGGACCCCCCTGAGTGCAGGAATTTCATGCACTGGGCCTCTAGTTATTAATAAAATGGAATGCCATAAATGTGTGTTTAATTAAATATTCAAATACCATTCTGATACATGGTCTTGGGGGTCTTTGAGGTCTTTTACTCTTTTTTTTTTTTTTATGTATACAAAGACTCTTGCAGAATCGATATGACACTGTCTTTCTCCCTATTACTCATGGAGTTCCTTTCCTCTTTGGCAGTGTCTTTTCCCCTCCATCCCTGGGTTCTTATGTTCTTTTTGTAGGTTCATAGTCCCCAAAACCTAATAAAGACCGCTTTCCCTAGGAAATGGACACTTTCAACATACAATTTCAGGGTGTTCATGGAGCCCCTAAGACCCATCCTTGTATCCCAGCTTAAGAATCTCTTGTCTCTTCTGACCATTTCAACTCTAGAGCAGAGTTTGACAAACTACAGACTGAGCCAAATCTAGTTCGCTGCCTGTTTTGTACATAAAGTCTTATTAGAATGCAGCCATGTTTACTCACTTATGTGTTGTCTGTGACTGCTCTCGTGCCATGAGGGCGGGGTTGAGTAATTGTCACAGAGACCATTCGGCCCTTGAAGCCTAAAATCAGCACTATCTGATCCTTTACAGAAGAGATTTGCTGACCCTTGTTCTAGGGCCCTTAACCTCAGTTAATTTTACCCGCTTAACCTCAGTCATGAGGTGGTACAAAACTAGAAGCTCTGTATTTAACTTATATATGGAAAGTTGTTGAAAGAGTAGAGTTCTGTTTTCTGAGTGTTATTTGAATATATAAAAAATTCTGTGTTGAGTGACTTCCTTATTTTTCATCCAGATCCTATTCCTGGAGGCTGTAATTTGGAGTTTGATTTAGATATTGACCCCAACATTTACTTGGAGTATGATTTCTTTGAAACAACTATCAAATTTGCCCCAGCAAACCTAGGCTATGCAAGGTATGTCTGCCTCTTAGAACTACTTTTAGAACACGTATGACTAGATTCAATGAACTCTCTCAAAAGTCATCGTTCTCTTTAGTAAAATGGAATTGTTTAGTTTTTTTGAATGAAAGTAATTCATACATTGTAACTAATACTTGAGCTGCCATTTATAGTTAATATTGCCCCCCTCAGTGTGTATGAAAGGCCAAATGTTGAATGTCTTATGAGCGTAGAAGTACATCTTAGTTTTCATGAAGAGTTTTATATATGGAAAGCCTTTTGGAGCCTTGAAATATACTTTTTTTTGGTAAGGATTTTATTTTAATTAAAACTCTGCATTAGTTTCTAGGTTAATAATAAGGATAGCTAATGTTTGAATAACATTTGAATGCTCTCTGTGCATCATCCACAGTGCTGAGTGTCCTGTGTTCTTTATCATTTAATTCTAACACTTATCAAGACGGGGCAATTGTTCTTATTTTATAAAAAGGTTCCCTAAGGGTCTTTGAGAGTAAGTGACTTGCCTACTTACCAGTACAGCTAACAACTGGCACAGCTAGCATTTGACTCTAGGCCTGACTGACATTAACACCTGGTTATATAACCATTCTGCCTGTTAGTGTGTTATTTTTCTTCTAATGCCAACATTGGAATCATTGTTTCAGAAGTTTGAAATTTGAGCTTTTGGTTCCTTTTTATAGATGGGACTTGCCCCACAAGAGATTGATACTCAGTTTTGTTGGTTGACTTTAGAGGCACAGATTCTCCGCCATGTGACACGAGGACGGGGCAGGATTCTAGGTGGAGGTTGCAGTATGACGTCTATCAGTATTTTCTGCCCGAGAATGACCTCACTGAAGAGGGGTTGCTGAAGCATCTGCAGAGGATGGCCGAAGTGCCTCAGGTGACGGCCAATGCTATTAAGGTAAATCTGATTCTCGTGCTTTGAGTAGCCAGATGGCGACACCTGAGTAGGGGAGAAGCTACCAGGAGCTTATTTCTTTACTGTTTCCTTGGTCTTTCTGGGATTTGCACTTTATTCTCTTTTATTTTGTTTATTATCTTGGGAGTCTTTGCAAGTGATATATCAAAGTAATATTGGCCTTTAAAGAGATGCATGTAAATTATGTTACATTTTAGTTGCAGCCACATATATGACCTGGTAATCTCGAGATGTGGATGGAAGTGGGTGGTGATTTTCTATGTACTCCTGTACCTATTAGATTAAAACTTTTGGCAAATACAAAGGTTATAGTGTTATGAGAAACTGTTTAAGGATATACTCATTGGCATTAATATTTAAACCCAAACTCCAAATCTCTTACTAGGAGAAAAATTTTCTTTGAGCTGTTGCCAGAAGGTTGAGAGATTACCAGGTTATATGGAAAGAGGTGATGGAAACAGGGCATATGTGGTTAGTCTAGAGCAGTGGTTCTCAACCTTCTGGCCTTTTAAATATAGTTCCTCATGTTGTGACCCAACCTTAAAATTATTTTCGTTGCTACTTCATAACTGTAATGTTGCTACTGTTATGAATCGTAATGTAAATATCTGATATGCAGGATGGTTTTAGGCGACCCCTATGAAAGGGTCGTTCGGCCGCCAAAGGGGTCGTGACCCACAGGTTGAGAACCGCTGGTCTAGAGGCTCAGTCTGTTATAGAGCAAGATCTCAATTTGTTGCTCTGTCACCTAGGATGTCATTGCCCCATGCTAAGAGGGAGCCTTATACAAGAAAACTCATTGTGGTTATTCACAAATTAGGAAGCTCTATGGGAAAAGTTTATTTAAAATAGGAAATTTTGAAGACCATGTTTATGTATGTATTTATTTGTTAATCCTCACTCGATTGATTTTTAGAGAGAGTGGAAGGGTGGGGGAGAGAGAGAGAGAAAGAAACATCAATGTGAGAGAGACACATTGGTTGGTTGCCTCCCACACATACCCCAACCAGGGCTGGGGATCGAGTCTGCAACCAAGGTACGTGCCCTTGACTGGAATCGAACCCAAGACCCTATAGTCCGCAGGTCAACACTCTTATCTACTGAGCCAAACTGTCTGAGGCTATTCTTATGAAGAATATAAGAACTCATGGAACAGGACCTTTTTAAGCTACTTTTTAACTTTTATTTAAGAGTTAAAATATTGTATGCCGAAATTCAAGGAAGCCCTCAGTGACTAATGAAGACATGTTAAAAAGACTCTGGAACCTGTTTGAAGAGGCTCACACTGGCCAACTTTGGGACAATTCAGTGATCAAAAAATAAAATGGTCCTAACCAGTTTGGCTCAGTGGATAGAGCGTCAGCCTGCAGACTCAAGGGTCCCAGGTTCGATTCCATCAAGGGCATGTACCTTGGTTGCGGGCACATTCCCAGTAGGGAGTGTACAGGAGGCAGCTGATCCATGTTTCTCTCTCATCGATGTTTCTAACTCTCTATCCCTCTCTCTTTCTCTCTGTAAAAAATCAATAAAATATATTTTGGAAAAATAAATAAATAAAATGATTGATTATAAGTCTTGAATAAGTAAAAACAAGATCTATACTTAAAAAAAAAAATGGAAAAAAAATCTCCCCAGTTACTACCATTGGAAAAGGCTCTTACACCAAATTATCCTGAAAATTTGTTAAAAGGGAAGAAATTTGTCTTGCCTTTTTTGAGGGAGGAACTGTAATTCATTCTCAATTGATGAGAGAAACAGTGCCAACTAATAAATCTTTTTTTTTTTTAATATATTTTATTGATTTTTCACAGAGAGGAAGAGAGAGAGATAGAGAGTTAGAAACATCGATGAGAGAGAAACATTGATCAGCTGCCTCCTGCACATCTCCCACTGGGGATGTGCCCGCAACCCAGGTACATGCCCTTGACCGGAATCGAACCTGGGACCTTTCAGTCCGCAGGCCGACGCTCTATCCACTGAGCCAAACCGGTTTTGGCCCAACTAATAAATCTTGAAGACATAATTTGAATTAGTAAATCACCATTTTGTGACCCTCAATGCAGTAATTCAGGCAAGGATCATTAGGCGAAAGATTGGTGAGGGACAGGATATTTCCGGGATGCCTAAATAGCCTGCTCAGATTCTAATTGTAAAGGGTCCACTGTTTTTAGAATGGGGTAACCTGATTGTCTCCTTCTTATCCCTGTAATCAGCACAGCCTCACTGATCGTGGGTTCACCTGCATTAGGTGCTCACATGAAGGCAGTCTGACATTGTCACCATTATCATCACCTGGAAAGGACTAGCAAAGCATAGCCTGAATTCAGTCCTTGGACTTCCTGTTTACAGGAAACATAGGAGGTGAAAGTACAAATTGGACACCTTGAGCACAATCTAAAAAATGCAGATTGTGGAATATTCTATAAAGTGACTGCCCTTAATCTCTTCAGAAGTTATTGGGTGAGTGGAAGTAGGGTAGTGGGAAGGGCTGTTCTAGATTACATAGGCTAGCGGTAAATACTGTGCATGCAACTTGGTTGGGTCTTGGCTAAAGAGGAGAAAAGCTATAAAAGATGTTTAGAAAAACCCAAATATAGAATTTATAATAGGTAGGAATTTATTAAACTTCTTAGGTGAGCTAAGGTATTGTGGGTATTTAGGAGATCCTTTATACATCAGACCTTGCTACTCAGAGTGCAGTAGATGGATGCTTAGCATTGACGTCATCAGAGAGATTGTTAGAAAAGCAGAATGTCAGATACCTCCTCTGACCAACAGAATTAGAACCCGAATTTTAACGAACTATCAAGTGATTCATAGACACATTAAGTTTGAGAAACACTGTTTTAGGACATGCATACTGAGTTATTTAGAAGTGAAATGTCATGATATCTGTAACTTACTTTAAAATGATTCCACAGAAAAAAATGGAAGGGCAAAGAGAAGGAGGAAGGGATAGATAAGCAAATATGGTCAAATATCAACAGTGGTAAAATCTAATTAGTGCAATGTAGTTTATTAATTGTATTATTCTTTTCCTATTTCTGTAAAGAAGGTTTCATAATAAAAACATGGGTGACTAGGAAGTACGTCTTGTGGAACTTGACCAAATACGTTGCCCAGGAAACATATTTGTGAAAGCTAAACAATATTTGTGAGCAGTGGAAGTCCTCTAAGTGGCTCAAAATTATTCCTGAAACTCTAATTTTCTCACTTAGTAATAGAAACATAGCTATGTATTATGATTATACTAGAGGCCCAGTGCACAAAATTCGTGCACTGGGGTGTGGGTGGGGGGGTCCCTCAGCCCAGCCTGCATCCTCTCCAATCTGGGACCCTTCGGGGGATGTCCAACTGCCCTGTGGGATCGGGCCTAAACTGGCAGTTGGACATCCCTCTCACAATCCAGGACTGCTGGCTCCCAACCACTCACCTGCCTGCCTGATTGCCCCTAACTGCTTCTGCCTGGAGCCTGATCACCCCCTAACCGCTCCCCTGCCAGCCTGATTGATGCCTAACTGATCCCCTACCGGCCCAATCACCCCCAACTGCCCTCCACTGCTGACCTGGTCGCCCCCAATTGCCCTCCACTGCAGGCCCAATTGCCCCCAATTGCCCTCCCCTGCAGGCCTGGTCGCCCCCAACTGCCCTCCCCTGCAGGCCTGGTTGCCTCCAACTGTCCTCCCCTGCTGGCCTGGTTGCCCCCAACTGCCCTCCCCTTCAGGCCTGGTCGCCCCCAACTGCCTTCCCCTGCAGGCCTGGTCCCCCCCAACTGCCCTCCGCTGCAGGCCTGGTCGCCCCCAACTGCCCTCCCCTGCAGGCCTGGTTCCCCCTAACTGCCCTGCCCTGCTGGCCATCTTGTGGTGGCCATCTTTGACCACATGGGGGAGACATCTTGTGCGAGGGTGTGACAGTCAATTTCCATATTACCTCTTTATTATATAAGTTTTTTGTTTCTTCTAGGACATGTATTACCCTTTTTAACACATTGTATGCAGGAAATGTATTTATATGTTCTACCAGTGTCGTAGAGCGTGGGACACGTATTAATACGTTTTTTATAGACTAGCGGTAGAATGCGGGTAACGTATAAATACGTAAACTAAAGTTTTCGTAATTTTACTGAACGTTGCCATTTGCGCAAAAAATTAGCAAAAATGGCCCGCGCCACCTGTTAGCGCGCAATAAAAACTACCTGCAAACAGTGTGTTAAAAACAACCTTTAAAAGGGAATTTTTGAAGTTAGGGAGTATTGCATAACAACTACATGTAATGTCTTCCTATTTCAGAGCCTGTTAAACAAAAATAAGTTGGTACTCGATGAGGTGCTAACAAACTTTGCCAGCCCTGTAACTAGCAGTAGTAGCTAACACTTGTTGAACACTCACTCTTGTGCCACGCATTTTGTTAAGTATTGAGGAAAGACTAGTGAGCAAAATAAATATGGTTCCTGCCCTTATGTTGTTTACAATCTAGCAGGTAAGAGAAAAATACTTTTGCTTTGTCCTAGTCTTTACATGTTACTTATATCTTACTTAATTATTAACATTTAACACTCTATAAAAACTTTAGAAGTATTTTGTGTAAGAGCTTGTTTATATTAGTACATACAAACTGTGTATGACAATCTTTTGATAAAACTAAACATGTTGGTGTATTTTTTAAAAAGAAATATATTTTAATATTATAATTTGATATCACATGTAGGTGGATTATAACAGAATAGCCTTTAAAAAAATCTAAACACTAATCATGCATTATGTTTGGCTTCAGGTGGTTACTCTAACAGCTAATGATAAGACAAGTGTTTCCTTCTCCTCCCTCCGGGGACAAGGTGTCATTTATAATGTAATTGTTTGGGATCCAGTTCTCAATACATCTGCTGCTTATGTTCCTGCTCACACATATGCTTGCAGCTTTGACGCAAGGGAGGGTAATTGTCCTTCTCTTGGTGAGTATATGGATTTAAACTTTGCAAACTCTTCTTTGACTTTGAAGATCTATATCAACTAATATAGAACTTAAGAATATTGAAAATGCTTTTGTGTAGTACTCATTCATTCGTTTATTCTACAGATGCCTCTTAAGCCCCTACACTACTCTACTCTCTGCTGTCTGTTTTCAGCACTGGAAGATAGCAGTGTGTGTGTGTACTTAACGTTTTATTTTGAAATAGTTTCATGGAAAAGATGAAAAAATAGTAACAATGTCTGTATAATCTTCACCTAGATTCTTCAAATGCTAGTTAACATATTTTGCTATTTGCTTTTTATTCTATTTACTAGAGGCCCAGTGCACAAATTCGTGCATGGGTGGGGTCCAGCTGGCCCGGCCCCAATTGGGGCGGATGGGGGCTGGGCCTGTTGGGGGGACGAGATGGCAGGAGATTGGCTTGCTAGCCCACCCCTATTGGGGCCAATCAGGGCTGGGCTGGTTGGGGGGAGGGGCCATGGGCCATTGGCTCCACCCCCAATTGGGGTAGGGGGGCCATTTGGGGGTGGGGTTAGCCATGGGGAGGCACTGAGGGAGGTGGGCCGGCAGGCCCTGTCCTTGATTGGGGTTGCGGGGGCTGATCAGGGGCGGGGCTGGCCAGGGAGAGGGGCTTCAGGAGGTTGGCCAGCCAACCCCACCCCCCCATTGGGGTGTTGGGGGTGGTCAGGGGTGGGGCTGGCTGGGGGGAGGGGCTGTGGGCTTGTCGTGGTGGGGCGGGCAATTGGGGGTGGGGCTGGCTGGGGGGAAGGGAGGGTTGAATTTGGCTGGCTGCCCAGTCCACCCCGCCCTTGATTAGGGCGGGAGAGTCCGATCAGGGTTGGGCCAGCCCCACCCCCTGATCGGGCTGGCTCACCCCTGATCGGGCCAGTTCACTGGCCACAGTGGGCCTCATAGCGACTGGTTATTCTGGCTTTACGGTTGCTAGCTTTTTATTTATACAGATAGCTCTATTTAGCATTCTTCTTTTAAGAAGAGCTTTTGGTCATCAACTTGGGATGAATTACAGTTCCTCCTTTAAAAGAGCGGGCTACATTCCTTTCCTTCATCAGTTCCCAACCACGGGTCTTAAAATAAGCAGAATGTGGCATTGTCTTTCATTTGGGTTCTTCCTTCTCAGCAAAGCTGCTATGTAGGTATATATTGTGTCCTACAAATCCTGGTCTTGTAGCTCGTGTTTCTCATTTAAATGTAGGTCTTTGTGGTATTTCCATCTGAGTCTTAAGTGTTTTATGTATTTTGATTGGTGGTGAGTTTTTTCACATGAGTTTATATAGGTGTTTTGTATTTGGTTTTAGTTTAGGGATTATTTTCTTGTGTTTATCTCAAAGGAGTCATGATGGTGATGCATGTATTGTAGTTTATTATATTTTGTTTTTAAAAACATGTTTTTATTGACTTCAGAGAGAGGAAGGGAGAGGGAGAGATAGAAACATCAGTGATGAGAGAGAATCATCTATCAGATGCTTCCTGCACACACCCCTCCTAGGGATCGAGCACACAACCCAGGCATATGCCCTGACTGGGGACTCGAACCATGATCTCCTGGTTCATAAGTCAACACTCAACCACTGAGCCACACCGGCCAGGCTGTAGTTTATTTTTGAAGAAACAGAATTATTTGTTTTAGGTATACTCTCTCCTCCTTTCCCACTTCCTCCCGCCCCCTCCCCCTAGAATATGTTACATACTCCTATCAGGAAGCATATATTTTTTTTATTTTGTTATGCCAGCAGCCATTGCCTACATACATTAATTCATTTAGGAGTGACTAGGATATGTTTAAAATAAATTATACATGTATGGAATAAATTACTGTCAGTTGACTTTGCTTTTTTCATGAAGCTTTGTTGTATTGATTAAATACAAAGTAACAAATTGCATGTATTATTCACTAATTTTCATTATTTTTAGGAAGAGTATCAACCAAAGTGTTTTTCACTCTTTTTGCCCTGCTTGGTCTCTTCATTTGTTTCTTCGGACACAGATTCTGGAAAACAGGTATTGTGTCTGATGTAGTTGCTATTGCATGCCTCATGGTCTTTTTTCTTAAATGCTATGGGGAATTGATGATCTTTAAGGAGGGTAAGCAACTGTTGACCTCCACTGTCTTCATACACTTGTGGTTGGGTTGTTTTAGTAAAGATTCTACAGAGTTGCTCTGCATTTTTATTTTTTCTCTTCTCTTTTCCCAATAATGGAGTTTACCACCTCCTCTTGTTAGTGGAATAAAATGTGATTTGTGCAGCAAACTTCTTCACTTGCTAGATTTCCTAGTTGGTTAAAGATAACAGGTTAGGAATCAGGATGTCAATGTAAAAAATATATATGTATGTGTGTGGATTTCAGTGTTGGTTTTCGACATGGTTTCATGTAAATCAGGCTGTAGGACTCCATGTATAAGTCATTAACAAGGAGTATAAATGGAGCATCAGAGGGAGAGTGAACATAATCCTGATCGCATAAAACTCTATAAACTTGCTTAAACAAATTGTTTGAAATAGCAATTCCTTTTCCTCCATCAGTATACCTTTTTTTCTTGATTGAGAAGAGATGATTGTGAAGAATATTTAATTCCTCAAAGTGTAGAATGATTCTGTAACAAAGAATTTAATTCCTAAGCTGCATGGAAGGTCCCAAAGATATTACTAGGTATTTTAACAGATGAAGATAATGGTTGGATTGTTCATTCTAAAAAGGAAAGGATGAATTAAAAGGAGACATAAAAGTCACATTTTGCTTTGGAATATTTTGTGTGGATTTTTTTTACCTTTTCAATCTATTTTCTCTTAAGTTGAAATTTAGTGTGCAATTTCAGATCAGACACAATGACAGAAGTACTATTCTTATTTTAAGAAGGAAGTATAACTGTATTAAAATGAGCTCTGAAATTAACAACTTAGCAATTGAAATTGACCTAAATACAAGAAGGTATAACCTATGGTTAACACTTTAATAGTGTACCCATTTAATAGTAATATTTACTCCCTATGAATTCTGCATTTTTCCTGCCTTTAGATAATTATTTCTCTCCTCCAAATGCCCTAATGTGGAAGCATGAATTTGTACATTAAATTCTTAAATTGCATTGTAAAAAGAATACCTAACCATAACTTGTGTTTTTTTTCTTTCCTGATGGTTTGCTACTAGAATTATTCTTCATAGGCTTTATCTTCATGGGATTCTTCTTTTATATACTGATTACCAGACTGACACCTATTAAGTATGATGGTAAGTAAAAATAATATAGCTTAATTAGGTGTTCAAAAGGAAGATGCTGTGTTTACACTCCACCTTTGCTTCTACAGTTTGTCCAGTATTGTGTATGATATGCTATTTTGTGTGTAAAATAATGTAAAACCTGTATTCTAAACATCTTTTCTAAACTGCTTGTTCAGACCTTCTCTTCCCCAAGTTTTTGGTACTTGGTAAATTACTTGGTATTTAGGGAAATGAAAGGTCCCTATGGATTATAAACCTGTGTTTCAGCTATGATGATATACTGAAATATGAGATTTACAACAGTTAAAATGTTAAGATTTTCTTCACCTTAAAACAGCGGTTCTCAACCTGTGGGTCGCGACCCCTTGGGGGTCGAAGGACCCTTTCACAGGGGTCGCCTAAGACCATCGGAAAACACATATATAATTACATATTGTTTTTGTGATTAATCACTATGCTTTAATTATGTTCAATTTGTAACAATGAAAATACATCCTGCATACCAGATATTTACATTACGATTCATAAGAGTAGCAAAATTACAGTTATGAAGTAGCAATGAAAATAATTTTGTGGTTGGGGGTCACCACAACATGAGGAACTGTATTAAAGGGTCGTGGCATTAGGAAGGTTGAGAACCACTGCCTTAAAACAAACACAACCCCTCTGTCCTTGTCATGTTTAACAGAATGCTTGTCATTCCTTCTTCCTCAGCCCTAATGTATAGGTTGTGCCAAGTCATGCCTGTCACCAGTCCTGGGAGGTTTAGCCCTCCAGCTAGGGTTCATGCCTCAGACTGGCTCCTCCCATGCTGGTCTCATGGCACCACTGAAGAGCCCACCCACCTCTGTTGGTGCCTGACCAACAGAAAGGCAAAGGGCGGCCCTGGCAATGGTCTATTGCATCTAAAGCAGGCAGTCAGAGAAGCCACCTCTGGTCACACAGTTCCCCTTCTGTCTTTGTGCAGTTCGTCTGGTTCTGACAGCCATCGCCGGAAGTCTTGGTGGGATTTTCTTGGTAGCTGCTTGGTGGCGATTTGGCATCCTCACGCTCTGCATGCTGTGTGTTGGACTAGTGCTGGGCTTCTTCGTCTCTTCAGTGACTTTCTTCACTCCGTTGGGTAAGAGATGCGTAACTCAGTGTTGCGTGCGTTCAGTTTATTGTCTGAAAGGTCTCATTTGGGCTCTCTAGGTACAAGTACTGCCTCATCAGGGATGTGGGATCTTCTATAGAGTTCTGGAAATTGGCACTTGATGATGTGGCACTTTAGGGAGGGTCAGTACAAATAAGAAGCCCTCTTTCCTCAAAGATACCTGTACTAGATGACTTATAGAAGGCCTTTAGAGACAGCTTTGTTCCTATTTGTGAGATCAGGTGTGTGTCTAAGTCTGTTTCTGTTAGAATTAGTGGTGGGAAAATGCATTCTTAATATATAGCAAAACAGTGGGTTTTGTTCTTCATTTTTTTACTCAGACGAATCTTAAGTAGAAGCCCAATAGAGCCTGCAGGTAAATTGGGTGCTGCTTTGACGGCAGCTGACTTGGGGACTCAGTGCTTTTCTCAGACTTCTCTTTTACCCCGAACCTCCACTCCCACCCTTTGCCAAACTTTGTGTTCCTCAGGTACCTACTTGTAGTCGTCTTAGGGGCGCAGCACAGGGATGGTTCTGTTTTGTTGTTTTTTGTTTGTTTGTTTTAATTTTTTTACATAATTCAATTTCGATCCATGTAAAAAATCTGGTTAACTTGTAAGTTAATTTTTTTTGCAGTTGTGCAGTAACTTACATTTCCTGATTGTTGTCAAACATGGAAAAAGAGTATCTACATTCCAAGGAACTCTATTAGGCTATTTATGTTATATTTAGTTTTTGTATTGCAATATCAGATTAAAGTAGATGGAAATGTTAGAAATAAGTATAGTTGTCTTTTGAGGCTATCAACTTTGAGAACACAGGGTATAACAGAATGTAGTTGGTGCTTTATAAAGATTTTTTTTTAAGACCAGAGAGAATTGACAACCTTTACTGATCATTGAGAGGCCCTTTTGTTCTAATTTTAGCAAACCTAAAGCCAGGTTCATTCCCACAGCCCCCCCCCCCCCCCTGCCCTTTGCAGGTAGTTTTTTTTACTTTTATTTTTCAATTAGTGTTAATGGGAATGCAGATTGGTGTAATCATGATGGAAAACAGTATGGAGGTTCCTCAAAAAATTAAGAATGGAACTGCCTTCTGACCCAATGATTCCACTTCTGGGAATATATCAGAAGGAAGCCAAAGCACTAATTCAAAAGAATATATGCATCCCTATGTTCATTGCAGTGTTATTTAAAGTAGCCAAGATATGGAAGCAACCAAAGTGCTCGTCAATAGATGAGTGGATAAAAAAAGCTGTGGTACTCATGTACAATGGAATATTACTCAACCTGAAAAAAAATGAAATCTTACCATTTGCTACAGCATGGGTGGACCTAGAGGGTATTGTGTTGAGTGAAATAAGTCAGACAGAGAATGACAACTACCATATGATTTCACTTATATGTGGGATTTATAGAACTCCTACTCTTCCAGGATACATGGGTCTCAAGATGTGGGGCCACCTTCAGGTGGACTGAGCGATGGTGCCACTGTCAGTATTAAATAATTCTCAGGCCCGACCTGGTTTGGCTCAGTGGATAGAGTGTCGGCCTGCGGACCAAAGGTCTCGGGTTTGATTTTGATCAAGGGCACGCACCTAGATTGCAGTCTCCTCCCCGGCCCAGGCGCTGGTCAGGGCGTATGCAGGAAGCAGTCAATCCATGTGTTTCTCTAATATCAGTATTTCTCTCTTTTCCTCTCTCTTCCACTCTCTCTAAAAAAATCAGTGGAAAATGTCCTTGGGTGAGGATTAAAAAAAAAAAAAATTGTCAGGCATAAATTCTCATTTAAATTTATTTATAAATAGGAGTTCTAATATGTTCATCTTGGGTCACCCAAGGTGTGCCATATTTTGGAAAAATTTAGTAGGAACAGATAGGTGGTTAGCTCCTGTCTTTCCTGATGCATTAGGAGATCACATTTCCAGTATGCAGTGGCTGGGCAGGACCTGATTGATGGTAAAAATCTACTAAATGGATTTTGCTGCCTCAGTTGGGTGGGAGTTCATATCATTAGCTCTAAATCCCATTTCCTTGTATTTTTTACTTTGCAGTACAAAATCATGGAATCATAAAAATTTAGAGCTGGAATGGATGGTTTGGAGTTTGGAGATGAAGTGGTTCAATCTTCTCATTTTATGGGTTAGGAAACTGAGGCCTAGCTTCACAGCCTGTGATGGAAGACATGGATTAGTCAGGCCTCTTGTGAATCATCCTGGGAATAAATGCAAAGCATTTACCTGCTTGATTTTACTCCCACCCTTCTATCTGCTGGGACACACCTTTCAAAGGTGATTGTATTGACAGCTAAATGAAGAAAATGAGAATTCATTTCTAAGTGCCAACACATTCTCTGGTTGTTACACACTAAACCTTCTATGTATGTCCATGTTCAGATGTTGATAAAATGAAATTTAATGTAGTGAACATGTCTACTCTTTATTTCTTTTTGCTTTTTCAGGAAACCTAACAATATTTAGTAATGATGCTGTGTTCTGGGTGACGTTCTCTTGTATAGTTGTTCTCATTCCAGTAATTTTCATGGGCTGCCAAAGAATAGTAAGTGTTTCATCAACAGTTAGATTTATTTATTATATTGTCCTGGGCCTTTAGTTGTTCACTTATTGCATCAGTTTGCATGTTTTATTCACAAGTACCATATGATTTCACTTATATGTGGACTCTAATGAACAAAATAAACTTAACAAAGTGGAGACAGACTCATGGATACAGAGAACAGACTGACAGCTGGGAGTTGGGGGCTGGGTGAGAAGGGTAAAGGGATTAAGCAAAGACTCATGGACACAGGCAACAGTATGGTGATTGCCAGAGAGAAGAGGAGTGGGGGGAGAGAGGAGAGAGTAAAGGCAGGGGTAAATGGTGATGGAAGGAGACCTGACTCGGGATGGTAAACACACAATATAATATACAGATGATATATTGTAGAATTGTGTTCCTGAAACCTATATAATTTATCAACCAATGTCAGCCCAATAAATTCAATAAAAAATAAAATTTAAAAATATTCTTATAACAGTGGGAGCAGAGAAGGTTGGACTCACTGTAATGCAACAACCTGATGGATCATTAGCCATCTCTGCAAAAGAGTGGTTCTTTGTTTAATTAAACTTTATTGTTGAAGTTCTTTTACAGGGAAGACACCTTTTATATAAGGTAAACTGTGTTTTAAGAACTCATTATGGGTGTCAAAGATTGTTCTTAGTTTATAGGAACCTTTATTCAGCTCTAAGACTTGGTCCTTTTCATGTGAGCAGAAGTGATTCCCTGTGTTTGAGGCCAGTGATAAGAGTTAGCAACTATTCTTGTTCTACCAGAGGTAAAGCTTAAAATTTCCCTCTCTTCCACAGCTGAGCATCCTGACTTGTGGATTCATTGGCTCCTATTCGGTGGTTTTGGCCATTGACAGTTACATGTATACAAGTCTTTCTTACATCGCTTTGAACGTACTCAAGAGAGCACTCAGCCCTCATTTCCGCAGAGCTTTCACAAATGTGCCTTTTCAAACTAATGGTAAGACCCTAAATCCAAGAATCAGAGCGATAGTCAGTTAGGAATATTGGCTCACCTGTGCTAACAGAAGCACTTGGTAACTGAATGAAAGAAAATTAGCTGGAGGAAAGAAAGTTAACTGGACACAAGGAGGAAGCAAACACCATTCAAATGCTGTTAATAACTTATGATCATAGAAACAAAGAATTTAAATTTGTTAGGCGGTTAAAGTTCATACTTCTAAAACTCTACTAAATGAACTTTGTTAATTTCTAAATCAGGATTACTTAGGCTTACCTGGTCAATTCCCAGTTGTGAAGAAAATGCTGAGAATAAAGATGGCACCCAAGGGTTGGGTGGGGTGAGGGATGAGAATGACAACCTGTTTTTTTAGGTTATTCCCTGTTTCCCTCCTTTAAAAAAGCATGTAATTTGCTAATTGAAAGCAAAAGTGATTTTTAGTAAGTATATTTTTTCCTTAGTTGTAGAATTTCTACCCATTACAGATTTTCCATGAACTCTTTGAAGGAAAAAAGACCACTAAATTAAATGGTCACAAAGATTGTAAGATATGTTGGTTTCAGAAATGTGAAAACACGGAGGATGGAAAAGCCTGTCTTAGAACTAAAGATATATAAGCACAAATTTTTCCTTCTACTGTCCTGAGCCTGCCCCCTCATTGGATAAGAGGTTGATGGTAGAGACCTTGAAATCCACGTGTCTTGGAAGTTTTACATACAAGACACTATTTCGCCAAGCCTTTACTAGAAGCCCAGTACAACTTGTTGCACCTCTTCCTACAGTTCTAATTGCACTCTGTGTGAGTGGGGTGATGAATGGGAAAAAAGAGAGCAAGCATGGTGGCGTCCAGTGTTCCACGATGTACGTTTGTGAGGTATACCTGGAATGCTGCCTTCTTCCCCCGCCCCTTTGTGGAAAACACCACAAACAACTGTGCCTGTGGGCACTGGTCATAAAATATTGGAATGTGAAGGACCCAAACAACTGGTTCCTTTACAAGCTGTCTGGACTTTCATGTTACTGTAACAGAAAGTTCCTATCTTCAAATATAAGATGATAGTTTCTTCACTCATTCCTTGGTTTATAAGTAAGGAAATAACATATGTTTGGACAAACTCACCACAGAGACTTATATTACTAAGAAAAGATGGCATAGATTTAGGTAGGCTATGAAAGGTTACATGTTAGATCTGCTTGGTTTTGAAATACGAAAGTTCCAACTGTGCGTTTTACTGTTTTTTAGACTTTATTATCCTGGCAGTATGGGGCATGCTGGCTGTCAGTGGGATTACGTTGCAGATTCGGAGAGAAAGGGGGCGACCGTGTTTTCCTCCCCACCCGTACAAGTTATGGAAACGAGAGAGGGAACGCAGGGTGACCAACATCCTGGATCCCAGCTACCACATCCCGCCATTGAGAGAGAGGCTCTATGGCCGATTAACCCAGATCAGAGAGCTCTTCCAGAAGGAGCAGCCAGCTGGAGAGAGAACACCCCTGCTTCTGTAGATGCCAGAGGGCTTGGTCAGTGTGATCCTGAAGAACACAGGCACTGCGCAGCTTTGGTGTTTGTGCCCAGCCTGCTTCAGCAATCTCCAGTGCAAGTCTAATAAGAAAGCAGGCTTGTGTATCTGTGTGTGGTGTCCTTACCGATGCATGGAGATTATAATTCTAAGTGATGAAAAGATGACCAAAAAATGGGTGAATAGGGAAGCTTTTCCGTATTCCAAAATACTTGAGAAATTACCTCTTGGTTTACATGATCAACTTGTTCCATTAAATAGATACACACACACACACACACGCACACAAATTAAAAAAACTGATTCTCACATAAAGCCCTGATGTTTTCTTTTCACAAGTCCTGGAAAATTTCTCACACTTTAGTCCGTCTAAACCTGGGGGGCAGGGCCACAGAGGGTGGTTTGAGTGTTAAACTGAGTTTTTTGCTACTGTTTAGAGATTTAGGGATTTGATACTGGGTCTTTGAACTTCTGAGTACAAAAGGAGAACTAACTTAAAAAGTCTGATTACTTAATTGCATCTCTCTTAGTATCATATAGTAACAAAAGGTGTCATTCTTTTGCTTATTTTTGTGATAAAAAACATTTACCATATCATTTTAAATGTATAGTTTTTGCTTTTTTATTGTTCAAAATGGTAATTTAAATAGCTAAATTATTTCAATTTGAAAATAGATCTAATTTATATAGATAACAGAACTTTTATATGGATGATTAATTTATATTCCAAATAATGGCCTGGTTTGTTTTCTGGCCCTTTAAAAGAGTATTGATAGCTGATCTCTAGTTTAAACCATATTAAGTGACATGAATTTTTGTTTTGTTAATCTTTATCTGCATTTTGTAGTTCTTTCGGCTAAATTAGTTATTAGCATTGATGTAAAATACAATTTCAAAAAATCTCTATATGAAGCCCTTTGTACCATCTGTGTTTTAAAGTGATGAGGAAGTCAAAGCACTCAGTGTTTAATGGAGCTACTTTTGAAGTAGAGGCTTGGCATTTGTAAGAAAAGTCCCTTCAGTTTTAACTTTTTTTTTTTTTTTCCATCATGAGAATGTAACCTGGGTGCCCTGGGCTGCATAGCTGCTCCTCATGGCCTTTTAACTGTCAGAGCCTCTGCCACCAGCTCTGCCTGGGACTTGACATGTCTGAGTGACAGGGTGGTTGTATGCACATTTGTGAGTTAACCACCATTTGAAATGATGCTGCTTTAGAGTTTTTTCAAAGCACAATAGATTTTTGAAATTTCGGGTAGCTGGAAAATTTTCAACTTTTACTTTTGAAAGTGTCTTGGAAATGATTTATTCTGTAATCCACACTATTTATATAACCGCAGTAACACTTAAACTTGAAGGAAATTTTTTTTTATAATTCACCGTAGGGATTCTGACTTCTGCCATATCTTGGTATGTTCTAACAAAGTTATACAAAATGTTTGTGAGTTATTTTCTATACCATCAAAACGCACTGCCAGTGAAGATTGTAAAGACACAACACACATTTTTTGGAGGGAGATACAAATTGTTAAAATTTATGTTAATTTGTGAGTAATAAAAAGCTCGTTTGTACAATTTTTTAATAATAAATTCCTATTTTGAAAAAAATGCTAAAATGTCTCATTATTATAAAAATCTTATAAAAATTTTTTGCCAACTATCTTTGTACCACAGTAACAAGGCATAAGAAGACAGTTTCATAGCTATAAAAACAATTATTTAATTAAAAATAATTATTTAAAGAATCAGTTTAAGCACAAATGAAATCATAAGAAATGAAGGAGCCTAACCGGTTTGGCTCAGTGGATAGAGCATCGGCCTGAGGACTCAAGGGTCCCAGGTTCGATTCCGGTCAAGGGTATGTACCTTGGTTGCGGGCACATCCCCAGTGGGGAGTGTGCAGGAGGCAGCTGATCGATGTTTCTCATCAATGTTTCTAACTCTCTATCCCTCTCCCTTCCTCTCTGTAAAAAATCAATAAAATATATTTAAAAAAAAAAAAGAAAGAAATGAAGGAATTCTGGGGCAAGCTGATGTCTTTAGTGGGTTAGTTCATTAGAACTTTAGGTATGTCAAACTGAAGGAAAGTAATAGTATTGGAAAAGTATACTGTCCTATTTTGTTTCTGATAATCTGTTATAGGCTACCTACCATGTTTTCAAACCACAGTAGCTCACCAGTGCTATAGATCAACTGAGTTCCATAGAAGATGAGATAGTAACTGATTTTAACAAAGAAATTGCTAGAATATGAGACCACAAATGGACTTTATTTTTTTAAAAGTATATTTTTACTTATTTCAGAGAGGAAAGAGGAGAGAGAACCATTAATGATGAGAGAGAATCATTGATCGGCTGCCTCCTGCTCACCCCCTACTGGGGATCAAGCTGGCAACCCAGGCATGTGCTCTGGCCAGGAATCCAACTGTGATCCTTTTTTTATTTTTTAAAAAAGGCTTTATTGTTGCAAGTATTACATAGGTCCTCCTTTCCCCCTATTAACCTCTTCCAGCCCATTCCCCCCACCCCCTCACCACTCCATTGTCCGTGCGCACAGGTTATGCATATATGTATACAAGTTCATTGCAAGCAGTGATCTCTTGGTTCATAGGTTGATGCTCAACCACTGAGTCACACTGGCTGGGTAGGAATGGACTTCAGAAATCATGTTATCTGAACCCTTTATTTTATCATATCATAATTATGTTGTTTTTGTGGTGAGAATAATTAGGAAATCCTTGATGAAGGAGCCAATTATATGAAGTTAGTTATAAAGTAGTGCCCAGACCAAAATTTGGGATGCCTGACTCCCTTTCCAAATGTGCTGTTATCATAAAGAAAATGTAAATCACTGATTACTTCTCATTTTTCTCTGGTGAACTGGTAGGAGGCTTCTAATGTTGCAATGATATTGCAATGATCTCTTCTTTGGGAGGGGGGTTACAATTTTATGCAATGAAAACATGTTTTTTCCAAGTTAATTCTCTGAGGTCCTAGGTTGTTATCCATTTCAAAGAACATAATACTAAAAAAATTCAATATCCATACTTATCTCCACAGCAGCATTTGTATAGAATGTTTTAGTATAAAGTTCACTCCTTGATGTATTTGATACCTGTTATTAAATATCATTAAAACCCCAAGAAGAGATTAAAAAAACCCAAAAAATAAATGTCAGCATTATTTTCAAATTAACTTGGAGAGCACACCAATTTTAATCACTCATCTTTATTGATAAAATAGGCTCCTATGCACTACACACCTTCAGAATAAATGTAAGGTTCTGCTTAACAAAAAAGTATGGGGTGGAAAACTGTTTCTATATGACAAAGTAAATGTCTTTAAATAGCAAGATCTTAGAATTATATCCAAGTAAGAAGACTAAGAATAAATTAATTCAACTTATTGGTTTACAAAAATAATTATCAAGTAATGTTTTATAATAGAGCTGCCTCAAACTGCCTCAGACAATCTCAACTGTGTAGCTTATTTTCTTTCATTCTAACTTGGGATAAAAACTATATGAATGAATGTGCCATCAAATTAAGGAATACTTTCCCAAAAACGAATAGAAAAGTTAAAAAATAAAAACTGTCATTTATTTATAAAACATTAAGGCCTCTGAATGAGAACAAAAATCAATTTAATGTTTGGGTCAATAGCCCTTTTCTATTCAGTCAGCCCTATCAACCCCACTTACCCCAAACTTAAGATAGAAAAATTCTGAAAAGTAGTTTTTAATTTTACCAATATAGGAAATTATACATAAAAATTACCATGTAAACATTTAACAAATTTATACTCAAAGTAAATTTTCTATTATGCTAATTTTAATATGTATTTAATATAAATGAGCATAATATATTTATATCTGATACTTCTTTGATCTTTTTATTCTGTAATCACCAAAAATAAGAAAAAAATTACATTTCAATTGATAAAGCACATTTCTATTTTTGGTGGCTTTTAAAAATTTACATACTGGATATATATTTTATTAAAAAAATAAAACAAATACTCCTAACTCCATGGATTTTTTTTGTCCCTCTTTAACTGGAAAGTTATAAGAAAAATCTCATAGGTTATGAGGACCACATGGGTGCTTTAAGAATAGATCTAGAAATTACTTTTTTAATTTACTTTTTCTATCTCACTTAACAGTTACTTTTAAAAAAGGGACTCTATGAGGCAGAGGATTTCCCAACTTACTTTGAAATAACCATACCTAGCTTGCTTTATCAAACATTTCAACTGTTAGCTAAATGAGCTACACAGTATCCTTAAATATCAACCACACAAGAGGAAAATCTCTTCATTAATGATTTAAAAGCAAAACTTATTATTCTTTCAGAGTAGTTTAACCTACTAAATATGTCTCTTATAAGATCTTTCTTAGAAAGTAGTATTTCTTCTCTTTCATTCCTGAAATGCTTTCTCATATGCTTAGCAATTATGGACAATTGTTTGCTGAGTATTATGGTAAGTTAGCTAAAATTAAATCACCTCTTTTGTTTATGGTGTATATAAGACATTCCTACAGCCTTTCAAACTGATTTTTTTTTTTTTGGACAAGAATTTAAATTAACGGGAAGGTAGGCAATCATTAAAGCTAAAGTCTCATGGTACATAAGCTATTTGTTAACTTTGACACCAAACAGGGAGGATAAAACTTAGTATGATGATCTTCCACTCACCAAACTGTGGCAAAATGTGTATTTTAAAATTGGGATAACTTCATGAATTCCCACACATTTACTGGGAATATTCCAAGTATCATCCGGAAAGCCAACAGCACTACTGGAAGCTCTTGAAATGTTCAGCAGTCACTGTAAAAATCTTCAATTTGTTCAGCAATTAACAAACACTTGTTTCTACTTTTCAACTGCATTTTGGAATAAAGTCTAATACCATGAACTATGCATTTTTTGTTGCTACCTCTTAAAAATGTCATTTACAGTGCACTGTACATATTAAAGGGGAAAAAAGAGTAGCGTGAGATTGATTTTCCTGTTAATTCATTAACGTCAGTAGACCAGTCCCAGGGATCATTTGGAGCCTTGTAAGAAACTCAGACTCTTCAGCTCTTCCTCAGACTCAGGTCGCTATTGGTCACTAATGCTGACAAAGAAGTATTTTCTGATACATCATCTTTTCTAAGGTTCAGAAACGACTCTCGGGTTATTTGAAGGATCTCTCTCAAGCCTTTGTTTTCTTGCTATAAGAAAATAAAGACAAAGATGCAGCCACAAAGTTAGCCAGTTACAAGAGCACAAACATACAGTATAACAAATAAGAAGCAAGTTCTGTAACTGACAGAAATGCACTGAATGATATATATGCAACTGAAGTTGACAACCTGAATCCAGAGAACACTTTATTTTAAAGAGGTAGGAATCATGTGTTCAATGGCTTCTACCTCTGCAAAGTCTTCTTATTTATGCAGCTATAATTGTAGACAGAACCTCAGAAATTGCCTTATTTTAACATCTAGATTTATATTTAAATACACTCAGAAAGTTTGTGAGTAATACCCTGGGACTACAACCTCTTAGTACTTTAGTACTTTTATTACCTCCATGATAGCATGGAATACAAGACAAGCCATCTGGTTTCTTACCTTACAGGAATTTGACAACAGGGCTGGTTGAGTAAATCATGATGTTTTTCAAAAAGGAAAGTAAGTGACCAAATCTAGACCAAAAGGTAAGCAACTTTGCCTTTTTTTTTTTTTTTTGTAGATATTATAAGAAATGTGCACACATTTTAAAATAATTTTCATAATTTATTCTCTATCACTCTGTCTTTGATTTTACTTTCTAAGTTCAATGGTAAAAGGCAGGGATCAGCAAACTACAGTCTGGCTTGGGGTCTGTTACTGTAAATTAAATCTTACTGTAAATTTTACATTACAATGGAAGAGTTGAGTAGTTGCAACAGACTATCTAGTTTGTAAAATCTAAAAAATTTACTATCTGGCCCTTTACTGGAAAAGTTTGAATCTTGTATGCTTAGAGAGAGAAATAATTTTGGCCCTGTACAACCAATTTCTCCACCATAATTTCAAAATGAAGCTTTTAAAGTACAAAAGTCTATTCTACTGATTCGGCTTATTCAACAATGGTTTATGCTTTCACTACACAAAATAAAGGACAATGATTTATAGGATATATTTTCTGGCATAGATCTTTAAGCAGTTTCACCTACTTTTACAATTTAAAACTTACTTCAAGCTGAAATATTCTTTCCTGTTCCTTACAACCCTGTTGCTCATCAATTTCAATGGCTTTCTTCATTACTGCTGCCATTTCAGTTATCTGGTCAATATGTGCTTGTAATTCCTGAAAAAGAGAGATGGGAGTTGCAAATTAGTGAAATACTGTATTATTGTTATTTTTGGATCCTCTCATCTTTATAAAATCTTTACTGCCACTTAATATGAATGTAATATTCACATACTGCCATTTAACATGAATGTAATTAATATAATAAACAGATATTTACAAGAAAGCTGACTGACCATGATCGTGCTTTTGAAATCAGATTTTAGGACTAGAATTAAGACTAAGCAGCATAATTTAAGTAAACCCACTCGTAAGAAGAGAGCTCATT